TCAAACAGTCGCATACGACAACAACAAATGAGTAGTCGTCTTTGAGGCAGTATCTATATATATAAAGAAATAATTGCACGTTCCAAAGCTTTTTATTTATATCTTGACCTTACCCATCTAAATAAATACACGTCAGCGAAGGTTAAAAAGCCACTTTACTTTCTGCTTGGGTTACTGCTGCTCGATGAATGTGTGCTGCTCCTTCCTCTCCTTTATTGCCATTTTTTACACTTCTCGTGATTTTCTATCTTTATCTCTTCTTCTGCTTGTTTATATATACCTTCATTTGCGGCAAAGTTGTATTATATTTGCAGGAAAATGAAAGTCCTCTGCTAAAAGGCCGCTGTTCGTCTCAAACTGCACTATCTCTATCCGCACCGTAACAATCGCGAATATGAAATTTACTTCCTGCATTTCATTTCGAATTCGCTCTCTGACATTTCGCAGTAGCCAATCCGGCGGGAGAACGAACGATTCGACTGGAAATCGATTCGACACGCGGTTCTGGTCCGATCCGCCGATGATAATTCTTTTTGATTGGATTTGCAAACGGCAAATGGCCGTAGGACAGGAAGCTTTAGCAATATTGCTCTAGATCAGTGCATATTCATTGTATATGTCTGTATATACATTTATTTGAGATTGGATGTAATTACATTTTAATAGCTTTTCTACATTTAACAGTATATAGAAAATAGGTCATTACAATATTATACATTTATAGAGTAATTAAACACAAGTATGTATAAATATGTATATATAGTTTTTTGATATGATTTATGCAATACATCTCAAAGCCGCAGTATGCGAGATATTCCTGTAGTTCAATGATGAAATTTCCGACTTGTCTGCATGATATAATATGCCTAAATAATGTACAAAATTAATTACCTATATTTTTTAGAATATATAGTATAAAACATTACATTAATATCTATTTTATACACATATTCGAACCAAGAATAAAATATAAAATAGTTTAAAAATTGAAATATATATTCTTCTGCTAATTTTTTATTTTTTTGTTTTTTCATTATTTTTATTCTTGTTCTTCAATAATTCTTGCACAGTATTTATTCTGTTCATTATGCAGGAAATTTCAAGACCGCCGCTCGCTTAAATCACTTTTTATTGGATTTCCAATAAACGTTCATATATGTGTTATTACAATCTGATTTCCATATTAGTCCGTTTCCATATATCCGAGACTTTATGCTCGCACAAAATGAGGCTGAAGTCGTAAGTATCGACGCGAATCAAACAAAGCGGATAAAGTATTAGCTATGCAACGTTAGGATACGGTCTTGTCAAATACAACAATCTGGATCGTTGCACATTAAATTAACGGACTCCGTCCATTTCCATATACTTTTTGTTGTGTTTGTATATGGTTTTGTTGCAATTTAATTTTGCACTCCCTTTGAGCAATAATTACTAATTGCGACTTTAATTAATGAGATATTTCATAAATTCAATTAGCATGCATGCATTTTTATTACATAAAACGGCGCACGACATGCACACATATATATATGTATATAGATATATATATTCAAATTCAGGCTCGCATATTTCTGAACCGTGACAAGTCGGCATTCGCGTATAGAGATGATCTAGTGCGCGCAATGTCTTCTGAGCACTCGGAGCTGCAACGAAGTAATCAATTTGAATTTATCCGTATTGAAAATTCAGGACAAAATGAGTGCGCTCGATAATTACTCAATCGCTCTCCGGGCATATAACTTTTAACACGCCTGAATAATTCGATATAATCCAGGAGATCCGATCCCAGAGATTGTGTCTGGTCAATCGGCAAATTAATGCTCACCGGAAAAAAATATATTGCAAAACACTCATTGATTGGAATAAATCGACCAATCAAATCATATATTTACGTTGCCTAGGTTTGATTTTTTTCATAATTCCTGTATACTCCAATATACGACTTTTCATAATAAGTAGGTATATGGGAAATAACTGAAATAGTAAAAAAATATATGTTCATTTAAATATGAAACAATATCTTGCAAAGTTCATCTACGATATAGTAATATATTCCATACCAAAAAAAATCATCTTGCATATTTTTCTTAAAATTATTTTTTTTAATATTACAGTGAAACGCCAATTATCAGGGTCTCAATCTACCGTGATCGCGGCTGTTTTACTATAACATTGTATCTGTAACTATAGATTAAGTTTTTAAAGCAAATAAAAGCGATTTTTGTATTAACCGTATTTTTCAATTACCACGGATAATCAACATATTTTTATCATTAAATTTAAACATTATGAATTTATTTCTTAATTTGAAACAACTATAAAAATATGGTATTAAAATGAAATAAAAAAAAACGAAAGAAGACTTTAGAAAAAACTAATAAAAATGACAACAATATATATTTGAAAGATTTAAACATTGTATCTCCAATATGATTAAATCTTTAAAATGCATTAGATGATTGAATTAAACAAATATAATCATACGAAACCTTTTTATGTTTTGAGGAGGTATTGGCAATGTGAAATGTAAATAGCACAAATCCTTAAAACTTGTACGATGAATACAAACACTCATTTTCGTTATTTGACTTGCATAATTAATGTATGTGTATATATTAATGACTATATCACGAGCGAATGAATTAAATTTATTGTTATTCAAATGCTTTGGAATTTCCGGAATATGACCGAAGAAAGTGTTTCATCCGAAAAGCATTTTATCCAGTTCATCCAAGACGTTTTCGATTTATACCGAAATCTAAGAACAATACTCTTCAAGTCGTACACCGGTAATTTATTGGATAAAATGCACTTATAGAACGTCGAAATGTACACTGGAGAACCCAATCACGAGCATTCGTATCAAGAGCTAATAATGATAATCGTGGAGATTTTGGAAGATCTAGAAAAATATATGAAATCCATGTACAATAAATACGGATTCCACTCGACAGATAAACACTTCATAATCTACCTAGGATATTTCCAAGTGGAGAGAGTGTTCGAAGTGCTTTGGAGATACTTTTTGACCAATGTAATTGTAGTGGATAGATTCAATGATGTTTATACGTATAGACCTATAATAGACGGATGTAGCGCTATTAAGCCTACATTCCTGTTCAATTCTGAACACTCTAATTTGAGTTTAATCTTCGATTATAAGTTGGATCACTTTCACGGTTGCGAAATCAGAGCGATGGCCATCAAGTATCCACCATACGTTATTGACGTTGAAGCCGTGGATAATCCGGGAACGGAAATTACGCTGTTCAGAGCCGCAGCCGTAGTCCTAAATTTCACACTCAACTTTGTCTAACATAATACGTTCATCGGCGAGAGATTGGGCGATAATCATTTTACTGGAGGCTTAAAGGATCTGTATGATTATTGGAGAACCTGATGTAAGAAATGGACATGAGCATCTTCACCTACAGCGGTTTCCTGACTGTGTTCGCTCCCAGGGGAAGGATGATTTTGTTTGGAAAATTGTTTCCGTGATGTTCGAACCGACAAGTTGGGTCTGCTTATTTTCAATACTCATCATATTAAATATCTTCATCCACTTTTTCAAAAAAATAGTATCCGAAAAGGTAAATGTTTTTCAACCCTATAATCCTAAACCAAGCAATTGAGCAGCCAAAATCCACGACTTTCAAGGTGATATTCCTGCACTGGACTTGCTTCTCCTACTTAATAACTAGCACATACATTACCATCTTAATAATGTTCCTTACCACTCCAATTTACGAACATCGGTTGAGAAGGATATATTCGTGATCGATTCCAAAGATTTCGGAATGCACTATGCTAAATATTTGAAAAATGATATAGGTCAACAGCTGCTGCAAACGAACTGGAAAATTGTTTACTTCTATTTGAGATATGTTATTAGGAAAGGACATGCTGGATAGCCTAAAATCCAGATTTTCAGAGAACGGTCTAGTGATTGTGTGGCGATCCAGAGTATCGACAGTCTCAAAGATAACCAGGAAATATGATTATGTTAAACCAATTGATTTGGATTATTTCACATTAAATTATTTATTTTTCTTTAAAAAATGATGGTTATATGAAATATTCAGAATGTTTAGATAATAATATGTATTTATTTAGAACAAAAGTTTAGTTAATAAGACTTACATATTACTTTTGTTAAATGTATTTAGTTTTAAATATACTAGTATCATTTTATAAATACACATCTAATGTTTCGAAAGTTCTTAAAATATTTCAGTTCTTAAATATCAGTGATGTTAAGACAATTAAAGGTATTTATTATAAAACATCAAGTTTTCTTTCCTATTTCCTTATAATTTTAGGAATGTAATGTATGTATAGATAATATTTTACAATTGCAATTTAACTAATTGCTATTTTAGATTTATCAAAATCGTTTATTGATAAAAATTCAATCACATTATTTAACTTTCATAATTTATGTAGATATGTCCTAACGAGGCTTTTTTAAACAATTCTTCCTAATATAAATTGAGAGTTTTGATAGTTCGTGAGAGAATGTGTACGTGACATAAAGTAACGTGCTTCCTCCTACATCAAATATTTATCTGAAATAATAACTAAACATATAGTGAGCTGAAGTTTCACTATTATTTATTAAAGTAATAAAAGTACCATTAGTAAAATAATATTAAGTCTACTTCAATTGCAGTCAAACAAACTACATAGGCACAATGGAAAAGATCATGGTGCACAGTGAAACGTTTGCAATCAATTGGCAGTTCGTTAAGAGTATTATCAGATTGTATACCAATATAGTAATATTTGTTGCTCAGAATGGCTCTTTCGTTGATAAAATCTTGGATGAAGGTATACAAGATGTAGAGCTTTATAATCCTCATTCGAATTTCGAATACATGATTAAATACAAACACTTCATCATACTTATCATCAATAGTTACAATGATTTTTTAATATATTTCAATCGGATCTTTCATCAAATAGGTTACAAATCAAATTTGATGTACTTTATCATCAATATGGGAGCAATTGGAGTCTACGACTTCGTGAATATCGCTGGTGGAATGTACCTGGTTAACATAATTATAATGGACAAATTAAATGATGTGTACACTTTTAAATTAACGCAAGGCTGCACGACTGTTCGTCCCTTGTACTTGTTCAATGCAGACAAACCGAATATAACCGGATTCCAATCGTTTCTCAAATATGAATACAAACATTTCCACGGATGCGAACTCACTGCGATTGCAATCAAATATCCACCTTACGTGATTGACACAGCTGATACTCATTATCCAGGATTGGAAGTCGACTTATTGAGGGATGCTGCAAAGATATTGAATTTTAGAATCAATTTCGTCGAACACAATTACACGAGCGTTGGTGAAAAACTAAGCGAAAATAACTTTACATATGTTTTAAAAGAATTGTTTGGGAACAGAGTGGATTTGGTCTTTGGTATGTTCGTAGATAATCCAATGCATGAATTAGAAACAACGCAATATGCATTTGGGGAATATTTATTGGCGTTGGCACCACAAGCAAGAAGAATACATATTTGGAAAAACATCTTTCGTGTTATGAACGATGATGTTTGGCTATACATAGTCGTCTCGATTGCTGCTTTGCAAATATTAATCTTTATATTCCACAAAGTTTTAGCTTTGAATAACTTCAATTATACGCTGGTTCTGTCTATTCTTTTTGGAAATGCAGTACCGATCCCTGTAAGACCCAGCTTAAAGATGCTCGTTGCTATATGGATTTGGTCTAGCTTCTTAATCACCAGCTGCTACGAGAGCTTAATTATGTCTTTCATAGCAACATCCGTATACCAAAATAAATTCAGTAATATGGATGATATTGGCAACATGGCCATAGGCATTAAGAGCCATTTTCACAAGTTCGTCTCTGATGACTACCCAACTGTTTACTACTGCCCTTTAGATAATACCTGTTATGAAAGGATAGTTGAGAAGCGCGACATGATTATGATTGATACGAAAAGATCATGTCACTATTACAAAATACAGAGCGGGGAGCAAGTATATGTAAGCAATTTGAAATTTCGCTTCTTGTATTCTAGATTTGTGCTAAGGAAAGGTCATCCCATTAAGAGGTTACTGGATAAAATGATATGGCGTTATATGCAGAATGGCTTCTTGATACGATGGAGCAGGAAGTACACAGATTTAACGACAGATAGAGCAACAAAATACAGTTCGTACGTGTCGATCACCATTGAACATCTCCGGTTGCCCTTCTGCGTTTACTTGGGTGGCCTTACGCTGGGTTCATTGGCGTTCCTTTGGGAGAACAGGCATCGTCTTTGGTTGCACAACAATTAAACCCATTGTGCAACAAAGTTTTTCTGGAAGTCCGCATACGTGCAGCGCGTCACCTCTAATTCGTCCAAGCTATTGACCCGTAGCATCGGCCTTGGCTGCTGCCAACAGCTGCTAACCAATTCCGTTGTTGTTCTTTTCGACAGAAATACAAATTTAAATATCGGGCTCCGTCCAATTTCTATTTGGTTGAGGCAACGGCCTTCGCTTCAATGATCGCTTGTTTTTCCGTTCTTGTGAAAGACCTTCCGCTGTAACCTTTATATTATACAAAACTCATATACCTGTCCGTTATCTCTCATATACGCACGTTTCTATAATTATATAATTAAATTTATCTGTACACAATAAATCTTCTGAACGCAAAGATATGATTATCCTATAAGAATTTAGAAAAATCATACACCTATTCCCTAGTTTGTATTTGTTGTTCTTGGGAAATGTACTGCACCACATGTTTCATATCCTATCCATACCGAATATGTATTTAATTTTGAAAGCTTTTGTAATTTCGATTACTGACTCATCGGATGATGAATTACATCATCCTTCAAGTTCGAATTATAATTCTTGTTGTACAAATTGGTAATAAATGAACCTATTGAAAATTTATTTTTTTTGAATCCAATTTATTTATAATTAAAATGTATATTTGAAATACATACATATTCCTTCATAGGTTCCCAAAATTGAAGAAAAACTACGTCTACAATAATCAAACTCACAATATCACATACATGTTCTGGATTGTTTGGGAAAATGTTTACACCAGCGCGTCCCAAAAACCACTATTTCAGGTGGATTGTCTATTGCCGACCAGTTTTCATCTTCATGTTTCATAATAAAACACAGATAAGCTATTGTCAGTAAAATGATTGTATAAGTTATCTGCGTATATTTCATTATCACTACTATGTCTTGAAGCCATTTCAAACAAATTATTGTACTAGGTTATGTTAGATACTAACATGTAAACAGTATAACTTTATATTTATTCCTAGTCCAATTATTAAGGGACCGTGACATGATATTTTGTAAAGAGTAAAGCTCATAGAAGGAAATAATGTCGATTGTATTTAACAAATGTAAAACAGTAATAATATCCCCCTTATTACCGCCAGTCGTAAACAGGTAAATTTACCCGTCTCGCACAAGATGTGTTAACACAAAGTTTGCCGTGAGATAGACCAATGTTTTGACTTGGAGCGCCTCGAAAAAATGCTGATATATTAAGGACGCCGCATACCGAAACAGTTTGTGAACCGCTGAGTTAACATATAAATATGAATATAAAATAAGATTATTAACATTCCTAATTCTATGTTTATTTTTATTATTTAAAGTTATCACTTTGTTATTTTAGTTCAACTACCTAAAAATATTAATTTTAGCATATCTTCTTATACCTTTTTAAACGGCATAAATCCAACGGTACTTTTAAACAAATTTATACGTTGTTTTTGGCATAAAATACTTATTTACATTCTTAAGATTATTAACCTTTCTTATAATTTGTTTGCTTTTCTTGTTTAAAATGATTACTTTATTATTTCAGTTCATTTACCTACAACGCTTCACTTTACCATAAGTTATAATATCTTCGAAAATAATATGATAATACAATACAATTTGCAATATTATTTAATTTTATTTACTAATTTTTATTGGTATTAATTTGGACGAAATGGCTAACGGCCAAAAGAACTGTACTCAGACTTAATTTTAGTCTTGCATTTCCCAAATTTTAAAACAACAGTTCGATAAAACAAAAAGTACAAAAACATAATATTTTATATAGATTATGAAATAATTTATCGAAATGATAAAGATCGGAAACAATAAAAAAGAGGTTTTTTTTTTAAGATTTTTACCCAAATGAAGCTAGTAAATAGTAATAAATAAATAAGATTTTTTATGAAATGTCATATTTTATAAAAGTTTTAGAAAAAGGTTTACCTCTCCATGCATTCGTATTACATGCGCTCACATTATTTTTCAATGAACTAACTCAACGCAAAGAAGAAAAGAAGCAATTATTCGTTTCTTTATTTTTATTTTTTGAAATAATATCCCGTGCCCCATTGAATAGCTGGGAGTGTCTTCTGCGAAAATATCTTGAATAGTTCGCTTATTGAAATTCCATTCGAATGTTTGAATTCAAAACAAATTGATAAAGGTAATTCGTGCAAAAGAGTCTACACGACCTTGTTGACCTTTGTTGTTACTCGGTTCGTTTTCCGAATTCGATGCTAATTGGTATTCGACAAGGCGACTGTGTGCAAGTGTCAATAGCCTATAGGTCGAATTGTTAATGGCGAGCAAAAGAAACGAAGAAGAAATTGTGAACGTGTAGAGATCTGTTGGGTCGACCTTAAGGTGAATTTCCGAATACGCGCGAAACCGGATGCCAGGGATTCTCTCCACCAGCAATGAATCAGCAATCGCGAGGCCAGCTGCGGTGATACGTGATCTAAAATTGCTGCACACGGCTCTTCCGGTTTCGGAACGGATAGTTGATGAAGCAATCGGTATCATTGCTGCACTTCTTGGAGCACAATGAATCGGCCGTGGAAGAACATGAGAGAAAGAGATGCTTTACAATATTGAAGAAAGATGGATTAAGTGTACGCAAGGTGTTTCCAGGGATTAGAGTGATGGATTGGAATGAATTAATCGAGTAAAGAGCGAGTGATTCCGCATCAGCAGCCATGGAAGTAAGGTCATTGCGGAAAGTGGCCGTGCACAACCTTGCCGCGGGCTTTTCGCTCCCTTCCTCTCATAATCCTTCCTTCCTGCCTCTGACTCCTTTTCGTGGTGGCGCGAAGCCGTGTAAACTTTATATAATACGGTGCGTTCGTTCGCATATTCATGGTCGCCACACGATCACAGACCAGACGCACATCTATAATACCTTATTGCCATCGCCTTACATCATCATACGGTTCCGACACGCGGAATGCAGCTAAGCTCTTCCCTCGCGTAAACCAAAGAAGCCCAGTTCATCTTCGTTACCTTCCTGTGTGCACCTAGGTTGTAGACCTAGGATCAGAGTGACAGTGCGCGATAGTTTACGCTGTATATTGGATTACCAGTGTCTCAACCGTCCGGGTATGTTCAGCAATTATAAACAACACACGTACACACGCAAAATCATAACAATAAGGAGAAAAAGAAAATACTATAGTGAAAACGAATTCTCTTTGCTTTGCTTTGACAACAAACCAATTGCGAATTGTTCCGAAGCGTAGAGAGAAAATACCATTGTGCAATGAAAATCCAATTATGCAACCTTTCGTTTTTCTTAATTAAAAACCGAATAGGAAACGAAACAGACTAATTAGAAGAGAGAGAACATGTTTTATTTTAATTAATTGGATTACGCATGGACTTTCACTAAAATGCATTTAAACGACTCAATTTGTATTCAATTTCTAAAAATTATAACCGTACCATTCAATACAATATTCCATTTCTATTCCTCCAAAAATACAAATTTCAATTGTCTATATAATTGCAACAAAAAATATTATTATTCCTTGCTTTTTACACAATACCATTAATTTTTCAATATTTTAAAAATTTGAATGGAAGAATTGGGTAAATGGTAAAAAAATAAATCAAGAATAAACTTCCGATAGCTCAATTTATCATTTACATATTAATTTATTTTTTCCAGTAAATCACGACTATCTCCAATAATATTCAAGGGTAATTGAGTAATAACATAATATAAACAAAATTTGTTCAGTGATATAGCATTCCTAATGAAAAGACGTAATTATTGAGTATACTCTTTTACTTTTAAGTTCCTATGATATTACTCAGAATTATTTTAAATAAACAAATGCACGTGTATAACGTTGCTTAATACTAATAGCTTAATGAATCACCCGTTGCTTTTGCAATGCGCGGCATACAATAAAACCAAGAGGAAGCGTTAAATCAAAACTTTATTACCTCGAACGAATAAAAACAATCCTTGAGCAAAGAAACCATGATCTAATCGTCACATTATTAATTACAATTACAAAATTAAATAAATTTTGTGCATTTGCGATACGACGATTTAGAAATAAAATAATTTGTATCTTGTGTTTCCGCTCTAGTGGTTCAAACGGACTCTCACAATTTCAAGCATTTAAATATTTCTCACCGTCTCACATTTGCTCTCGTATTTATTTAAATTGCTAACTATCTATATATCTATATATATAATAATTGCAATGCTGCAATTCTGCATACGAAGTGGTATGTTTTGCAGCACATGACACAGTTGGGGCAATCTAAAATTAGTGACTATTTAGATACAAATTACCATCGAAATCGCATGGAAATAGGAAAAAGGAAAACATGGGCGGTCGGAATTCCGCACGATTTCCAATTATCCGCGACGTTCTTTTTTTTAATATTCCAAAAGGAAAAACACAATTTTCCGTGACGAAATCTCCGAGGGTAATAATTTACGACCTCGATGGCGTAACCCGAATTTAAACACTTCTTGCATTTCTAATGCAAAATTTAGATGTTATGTTCATGCTCTATGTCTATTTAATTTTGTCTTATGGTAAAAAAATATTCAACTTATTGCAAAAAATCGGCAGGTTATGAATAAGAAATAAAGGACATGTAAACTTGATTACGAGTCTTGATAATTTATTTGGCTAATATCAGGACTGCTTTTCTACCTTTTTTATATCACGGTACACTTGACATTACAGACAACGGAACTCGGAAGTGTTTTGGAAATAATTTAATAATTAAAAAATACTATTCCATGCGAACATGTAATTGGTTTACTTTCTGTTATTGTGATATGATAATTGTAGAAAATCTTTATTATTAAACCTTTAATCAATACAAACATCCATCAAATTTCATAAAATATGAGTTTCTGTTAATAGAACACGTCGACTTAACTATAAATAAATGTAGTAAGAGATGACTATTCAAAATAGGTGTGTTAATACATAGATACTTAATCTCTACATCAAATTTGTAAAAGA